CCAGACATCCTTTTCCAACGTATATGGCAGTGTCCTGCTTGTGCTGAGGTGCGGACAGAGAGTGCTACGAAGAAGGCTCGACACGTTTTCGATTATATGGGACCTGGCACTCCTGAGGACCTACTGCTGCTCACGCGTGCGATGTTCCCACATCCTGGAGGCTTCTTGCCGAGACCCAGCACGACGAGCAAGGTTGTCTGGCAGTGGCAGGAGGAAGATCAGGGTGACAAACAGGTGGATGGCGAGCTGTTCCTGGGCAGGAGCTGTTCAAGACATGTTTTGAATGAGGTTAACAGGGCTGGCTGGGGGATGGCAATTTTCGTCATTAGTCGCCGTCTCAAGGGCCGCATTTTCGGGACAGTGTACGGTGGGTTACCCCGGTCCACCCAGGCTGGTGAGTGTGCGGCTTACGGCTGCGCCAGCCAGGTCCTTGGGGGACCAGCAACCGTGCATACTGACTGTGCGACAATCTTCGTCCAGGCGAACAGACCCGTGGGTGAGCAGCTTCGTCGTCAACGGCACTGCTCAGGGCTAGCCAGAGAATCAGCCACCCATCTCAGTCTGTTCAGGAAGTTAAGGCGCTCCTCGGAAGATGATGGTGCTCCTGAAGGCGAGATGGTCCTCAGGAAAAGGACCCCCCAGGCTGATCAAGCGGCGCAGGCGGGTGCCCGTTTTCACCCGTGTGCTGCTGATGATCAGCAGGCAGCGCTAGATAAGACGTTGCTGATCGCTACGTGTGCTTGCAGGCTTGCGGCCGCCTTGCTATTCAAATGGCCGCGTCTCAATTTGAAGGATGTGCCTCAGGTTCCGGCCGAGGCTCGAGGTCGGGGCTGCTCCAGGCCGAGGCAAAATGATTCGATCGCTGTTGATGGCAGATCGCGTCGCAATCTTTGCCGCAAGGCCTCCCAGTCTCAGCTCCGCCCGCCCCCTCCTGGTTGTCCTGGGAACGTGGGGGGCTGGGTTTTTTGGGGAGATGGGGCGTCTTCGGCATTTCGTGTTCGGATTGCCGTGCAGTGGAGGAGAAACCCTCCATACTTACACCCGCTGTGATTCGTACTGCGGGATTGGTTCGTCAACAAATTCGAGCCTCTCCGTCGACGCGCCCGCAGTCGAAGAGAGCCCTCAGAAGAAGTTTTAGCGGAGAAAGATTCTCGGAGGGCTGCGCCCGAAACGCAGCTGCAGTGTTCGGGTCCAGACAGGGTCATTGGCCTTGTTTTTTGTTTGTTGTTGTTGCTGCTGCTGCTGTTGTTGTTCTTGTTGTTGTTGTTGTTGCTGCTGAATTCTCATTTCTGAAGAATATTTTTTTTTGATCCCCCCCACCGGTGCATACTGTTTTTTCCCAATCAAAGTGTGCCCCTCGACGCTTGCACCCTGTTTTTTGACAGGGAAAGTCTTCGTGCTCAAACTGGGCCACTGTCCCCCGGGTTACAACAACAACTGCTCCCGCTTGAGACTTCTTTACAATTTAGCCGGACCCTCGCTCCCGTCCGAGACTTCCTCGCATTTTATTCAGGAATCGCGCTCTCGCTTGGGACTTCCTCACAATTTATGCAGGAATCGCTCTCCCGGCGCTCTGGAGTCGCGCTCTCGCTGGAGACTTGCTTGCAACTTACTGAAGAATGGCCTTGCGTTGGAGTTTCCTGCAATTTGCCCAAGCGCCGCGCTCCCGACACCCAGGCGCCCAGGAGTCGCGTCCGTTGTGGCCCCATGTGCATGCCCTTCGCGGCCCAGCTGTAGCCATTTGTGTCCCCCTCACTGTCCTACGTGGCCCAGTTGCTACCCCCAGTGGCCCCATAGTTGCCTTCTGTGGCCCCGCATTATCTGCACTTCGTGGCCCCCGCTTGTTCGCGCTCTTCGTGGCCCCATACGCATTCCCTTCGTGTCCCCGCTGTCGCCCTTCGTGGCCTACTTCGTGCCCTTCGTGGCACTGCTGTCGTTCTCTCTCGCTCTCGCTTTCGCTCGTCGTCGCCGTCGTCGTCGCCGTCGTCTTCGACGTCGTCGTCGTCGTCATCGTCGTCGTCGTGGTCGATCCCCTGTCCGTCCCTCTTTGGGTCGGGTCGACGGTCCGCGGCCGCCCCGCCGATCAGCGCTGCCGCTGGCCGGGCCGACGGTCCGCGGCCGCCCCGCCGCTTGCTGGGGCCCAGCCTGCAGGGAAGAAAGGTATACCCCCCAAAAGGGGTTCGATCGAAAACGAAGAGGGCGGGTATCGAGGGTTTGGGAAATACGCGTTATTGGACACTCGAGCATATAAGGGCGAACAGTCTTAAGATTATTATTGTTGTTGTTGGTGGTGTCGTTGTTTTTGTTGTTGCTGCTGCTGCTGCTGCTGTTGTTGTTGTTGTTGTTGTTGTTGTTGTTGTTGTTGTTGTTGAACATTATTTATTCTAAAGAATAATTATTGTTGGGCCCCCTGGTGCGCGCCCCCCCTGCGCCGCCTAGGCCGCAGCTACATTTTCATCATTTTCGTGAGGAAGCCTCAGAAAAGAGGGTGTGTACAGGATCCGGTTGTTTTGTTGTAATCCGCTTTCCCTTGCAAAAAACAATAGAAAATGACATTTCTTGTTCTAATATAATCAAATTTCAAGAATCCCTTGCAAAAAATAAGGTAAAGTGGACATTCGCGCGCGCAAGACGAAATCCTTCCAAAACCTTAGTGTTCGCAGCGATTTTAACATAAAAACATCAAAAAACCAATGGTTTTTCAACAACAAATTGTCAAAATCTCATCCCGCGCGCTCTTGCGGATTCGTAGGAAACCCAACACTTTTTAAACATTTCTGTCAAACGGGCTTTTGCGAGCAACTTTTTCGAACTTCTGCGACAACGGTTGCGCACCTGCCAGGGCCATCATCCCTGTCAAATAATACCATGCGGGACACATTCGTTTTTTCTTCGCGCGCGCACGCCGTCGTCGTCGGCCGCGGGGCCCTGAATAGTAGCCACGGTCGTCCGCATGCCACGAAGTGAAGTGTCCGAACGTCATAGGGCGGGAAGCTGGGTGTGGGTGGTGGCGAAGAGTCGTTTGGAAATTTGGTAGAGCTTGAACCGGCCCCCCCACAAAGTGGGGGTATTGCCCGCCTCCTATGAAAACCCTGGCACTGGTGAGAACGGAGTGTCCCCACGTGCTAGTAATTGTTGTTGTTGTTGTCGTTGTCGTTGTCGTTGTCGTTGTTGTTGTTGTTGTTGTTTATACGTTAATTTTCTATCATAGTCTTAAACCATCAAATCCCCCACTTGTGCTCAGCGCACGAGTTTGAAGCGCTGCCGTCCAGTTGGGTTTTTGGTGCGGGCTTCTGGTGATCGTGGCAGGCCCCCCCCTCCCGCACAGGTCTTGACACGGGGCGGTCGTGGCTCCAGCTGGAGCTTCAGCAGTCGAAGCAGGGCACCACCTTGGCACGGGCGGCGCGGAGGACCTCCGCCAGGCTGCTCGTGGCGCCTCGCGTTTGCATCGTGCTCTCCTGTGCGCCAGTCGTTTCGCCGTGGGCCAGCGCTTGCTGCGAATCCGAGACGAAAAAGTGGGCGCGTTGCATCCCGTCGAGGCCTTCCATGCAGGCTTCGACGACGAGGCCTCCGCGCGTTGGGCGGGCCGCTCTGGTGCCCGCAGGGTACTTAGGCGGGCGGCTCAGACAGGTCGTTCCTGCTGCGGCGAGACCTGGTCGTTCGTGCGGCGGGAGTGGTTCGTGAGCTTGCTGTGGGCCTCCGTGGGGTCAAAAACTCCGCCCCTCCGCGCCCTCCAGGAGCAGCTCAATGCAAGTGTCGAGGCCAGGGAGGAGGAGAAGGAGGAGGACAATTGTAAGCCCAAGACGTATCAACAATGTTGCAGTAAACCTTTCCTCCGAGGTCCCTCTTCGTCGGTTCCTACACACATGTATTTCCATTGCGAGAAGTGACCCATGTGAAGATAACCGTCTGATAATCTTCAGTTTTTCCAGGAACGCCGTTTCAGGAATTTCATCGCCGCGGATCGAAACGACTGTTGCGCCCTGACAGTCCTTAATCGTGCCATAACACCACTCCCGGGCAGTCAACGCCGCGAATCAATGCGATCGTTGCGTCCGGATAGGTCAAAATAGTGCCACATCACCATTCCTGGGTCTTCGACCGTACGAAACTTCGAACCCATTGCAATCTTTTAGAGGAATGTGCGCGGCGCTCCTGCGAATACCGAATTTTGAAAAGAAGCCGCCTTCCATCCGTGAGCAGCTGCAAACTTGTAAGATACGCGTGCGCGGCGCTGGGGCGAGAACCACATTTTGAAAAAGAGCCGCCGTCCTTCCTGGACACTGCTGCAGAATTTACAAGACGCGTGTGCGCGGCGCACAGGCGAGACCCACATCTTGAACACAGCCCGCCCTCCTTCCCTGAAGCTGTTGCAAGTATTTGAGATCAATGCGCGCGGCGCTAAGGCGAGAGCCGCATTTTGAGAAGCACCCGCCCTCCATTCGTGAAGCTGTTGCAAGCTTTTGAAACGAATGTGCGCGGCGCCAATGCGAGAGCTACATGGTGAAAACAGCCCGCCCCCCATCCGTGAAATTGCTGCACAGTTCAAGCTTCAGGACTATGAGCGGCGAGGTAGTCTCAGGCGACCCGCCTGGCCCGCCCTACTGGCACGTCTGGGGGTGCGACAAGTGGGGAGTTACTCACAAGGAGAAGGGATGGATGAGGAGGAGGAGGAGGAGGAGAAGGAGGAGGAGGAGGAGGAGGAGGAGGAGTTCTGGCAGGAGTGGTCACCTGCGGGTTTCGTTTTGCGTTTTGTATGGCGCCCGCGAGGAGGAGGGCGATGACGATGAGCCTTCTGCCCTTTCCAGCCTTCAGTATTTCCTATGGGATCCCTTCCCGTTTACCTGCATCGTCCTGTGCGAGTGCGACCGTTCCACGCCCGTCCATTGGGGCTTCAATGGGTCAGTGGTGACTTGTCGATGATGTGGGATAAAAGGTTCCTTTGTGTGCAACGGCAGACAGGATCAGGAGTCACGTTGAAGACTTGATGGGATCTGCAGGAATCTGGTTGCATCACGCTGGTCGTCACGAACGGCTACGATTATCCGATGGACGTCACAGTGTCGTTTGCCTGGGACACTCCTGGCGTTCACGATGCTGAGACCAGGATAGCGGATTGGGTCGCCAGAGGAGCATAGGAAATGCTAGGGGGAGTTTCTGCTGCTGCTGCTGGCGCCGATGTTGATGATGCTTGAGATGATGGGCTGAGTTATTCCCCAAACAGTGCTTGCGCTTATGGGGTTCTTAATTGTCTCTCTGAAGAATTGGTTGGTATGTCGAGGACTCATCACGTTGCCGCCCGTTGCCGCCTCGAGGGGTATGGCGAGCATTCTCCACGTTGCCGCCCGTTGCCGCCCGTTGCCCCCTCGGGGGGTATGTCGAGGATTCGCCACGTTGCAGTCCGTTGCCGCTGCAGCCTCGGGGGTTCTGGCGAGGATTCGCCCGATTGCTGCCGGTTGCCGCTGGTTGCCGCCTGTTGCCGCTTCGGGGGGTATGTCGACGATTTGCGCCCTTGCCGCCCGTTGCCGCCCGTTGCCGCCTCGGAGGTATGTCGAGGATTCGCCACGTTGCCGCCCGTTGCCGCCTGTTGCCGCTTCGGGGGGTATGTCGAGGATTCTTCACGTTCCAGCCGTTGCCACAGGTTGTCGCCTCGGGGGGTACATCGAGGATTTGCTACGTTGCCGCTCGTGGCCACCCGTTGCCGCCTCGGGGGATACGTCGAGGATTCTCCACGTTGCCGTCCGTTGCCGCCCTGTGCCGCTTTGGGGGGTATGTCGAGGATTCGCCCCTTGCCGCCCTTTGCCGCCCGTTACCGCCTCGGGGGGTATGTCGAGGATTCGCCAAGTTGCCACCCGTTGCTGCGCTGCTGCCGCTGCACCATGTAGCTTACAGCTCAACAGTTTAATAACTGACTGTCTGGGGTTCACGCTGGCAGCCATGCAGCGCAAGCGAACCGATCGTGCTTTCTTTGCGCACGCAGGCAAAGACGCACACGTGTGCGTGCGCACGCAAGCATGTGCATACATATAGATGTGTATATTTACACATATACAGATATGTATACACACGCGCGGCCAGTTGTGCCAACTTAGCTGTGAGGAGGACATGTAGGAGGAGGAGGAGGACGAAGATGATAAACAGGACAAGGAGGAGGAGGAGTAGGAGGAGGAGGAGGAGGAGGAGGAGGCACAGGAGGAGGGTGACAAGGAGTCGGATCATGATGTGGAGGGTAGAGCTGGGATGACGAGGAATGACACGGGGTGGGGACAGGAGAACGAGGAGGCGCATGAGGAGCATGCGTAATTAACATCAGAAGGACCAGGACTAACAGAGGATACGTGATGTAGTAGAAGCATGATGCTAAGGAGGAGGAGGACGAGTGAACAGGAGGAACGGGGAGGGGCGGGGAGTGCACGGGAGCATCGGCGCGGGCGTCGCGAAAGCAGGCTCCTTAGCAGGGCGCAGCGACCGAGGGCTTCGAGGCGAGGGGCTCTACGGTGGCGGGGTTTGGACGTATGCTTGTGGCGGCGGGCCTTGGTGCGTGCCCGCCCCCCGCTTCGGGGCTGAACACAGCGGCTGCGCCGTCTAGCCTTGGGCGTTGGGGTGTCTCCCGTCTCCCTGGGACAGGTGACGCCCCCCGTCCCACGGGAGGAGGGGGCAGGGGGCAGGGAGACAGGGGGGGCGAGGAGGGAGGATGGGGCGGGGGGGGGGATAGAGCGGGGGGTGACGCAGTGGGGGGCAAGGGGCGGAGGGAGGGAGGGCGGAGATAGGATGGAGGTGTTAAGACAGAGTGAAAGAGAAGGAGCGTATGAGAGGAGGAGGAGGAGGAGGGAGGAGGGAGGAGGAGGAGGAGGAGGAGGAGGACGAGGAGGAGGACGAGGAGGAGGAGGAAGAGAGGAGGAGGAGGAGGAGGAGGAGGAGGGAGGAGGAGGAGGAGGAGAGGAGGAGGAGGAGGAGGAGGAGGAGGAGGAGAGGAGGAGGAGGGGAGGAGGAGGAGGAGGAGGGAGGGAGGAGGAGGAGGAGGAGGAGGAGGAGGAGGAGGAGGAGGAGGAGGAGGAGGAGGAGGAGGAGGAGGAGGAGGGAGGAGGAGGAGGAGGAGGAGGAGGAGGAGGAGGAGGAGGAGGAGGAGGAGGAGGAGGAGGAGGAGGAGGGGAGGCGGAGGAGCGCGGAGGAGAGGAGGAGGAGGAGGAGGAGGAGGAGGAGGAGGAGGAGGAGGAGGAGGAGGAAGAGGAGGAGGAGGAGGAGGAGGAGGAGGAGGAGGAGGAGGAGGAGAGGCCGGGGGATTGTGGAGCCCCTGTGGGTTTCAAACGATTATCTACGATATTTCAAGTTGTCCTCATCATTATTCTGATATTTCCCTCTCTCGCATTCTCTCTCTCTCTCAATCTCTCCCACTCCCATTCCCATTCCATTCCCATTCACATTCCCAATACCATTACCATTACCATTCCCATCCCCATTCCCATTCCCATTCACATTACCATTACCATTACCTTTACCTTTATCTTTACCTTTACCCTTGTCATTACCATTACCATTACCATGGCCATTACAATTGCCATTGTCATTGCCATTGCCATTCCCATTGCCATTGCCATTGCCATTGCCATTACGAGTGCCGTTGCCATTGCCATTGTATTGCCATTGCCAGTCGCCACCCCGTTACCATTACCATTACCGTTACCATTACCATTACCATTACCACTACCATTCCCATTACCATTAGCCACTACCATTACCATTGCCATTACCATTAGCATTACCAACACCATTGCCATTACCATTACCATTACCATTATCATTACCATTACCGCTGCCATCACCATTACAATTCCCATTCCCATCACCATTGCCATTGCCATTACCGTTACCAGTACCATTACCATTACCATTACCATTGCCATTATCATTACCACTACCACTACCATTTCCATTCCCGTTCCCGTTCCAATTTCCACTACGATTCCCATTCCCATTCCCATTCCCATCCCCATCCCCATTACCATTACCATTACCATGACCATGACCATGACCATTACCATTACCATTTCCATGGCCATTGCTATTGCCATTGCCATTGCCGCTGCCATTCCCATTGCCGTTGCCATTGCCATTACCATTACCATTGCCATCGCCGTTGCCATTGCCATTGCCATTGCCAATCGCTACCCCGTTACCATTGCCATAACCATTACCATTACCGTTACCGTCACCATTACCATTCCCAGTACCATTACCATTACCACTGTCATTGCCATTACCATTACCATTGTCATTGCCATTGCCACTCGCCACTACCATTACCACTGCCATTCGCCACTACCATTACCATTATCATTGCCATTGCCATTGCCATTCGCCACTACCGTTAACATTGCCAGTACCATTACCATTCCGATTCACATTCCCATGCCCAATGCCATTACCATTACCATTACCATTACCATTACCATTACCATTACCATTACAACAGCCATTGCCATTACCATTGCCATTATCATTACCTTTACCTCTACCTTTACCTTTACCCTTACCCTTACCATTCCCATTTCCGTTACCACTGCCACTGCCATTTCCATTCCCGTTCCCATATCCATTCCCATTCACATTCCCGTTCTTGTTCCCATTCACATTACCATTACCATTACCATTGCCATTGCCATTGCCATGGCCATTACCATTGCCATTGCCATTCCCATTGATATTGCCATTGCCATTGCCATTGCCATTACCATTACCGTTGCCATTGTCATTGTCATTGCCATTGCCAGTCGCTACCCCGTTACCACTATCAGTACCGTTACCATCACCAGTACCATTACCATTACCTCTGTCATTACCATTACCATTCGCATTGCCATTGCCATTGCCATTGGCCACTACCATTGCCATTGCCAGTACCATTTCCATTGCCATTCCCATTCCCATGACCATTACCATTACCATTACCATTATCATTTCCATTACCATTACCATTACCTTTACCTCTACCTTTACCTTTACCCTTACCCTTACCCTTATCATTCCCATTTCCGTTACCACTACCACTACCATTTCCATTCCCGTTCTCGTTCCCATTCCCATTCACATTCCCGTTCCCATTCCCACTACCATTGCCATTACCATTACACTTACCATTGCCGTTGCCACTGCCATGGCCATTATCATTGTCATTGCCATTGCCATTGCCAATCCCGTTGCCATTGCCATTACCATTGCCATTGTCATTGTCATTGCCATTGCCAATCGCTACCCCGTTACCATTTCCATTACCATTACCATTACCATTACCAGTACCATTACCATTACCTCTGTACCATTATAATTACCATTACCATTACCATTACCATTACCATTACCATTACCATTACCATTACCATTACCATTACCATTACCATTACCATTACCATTACCATTACCATTGCCATTGCCATTGCCATTGCCATTGCCATTGCCATTGCCATTGCCATTCGCCACTACCATTACCATTCATTCCCATTCCCATTCCCATTACCATTACCATTACCGCTGCCATTACCATTAGACTTCCAATACCATTACCATTTCCATTACCATTACCAGTGCCATTACCATTACCACTACAACTACCACAATCATTTCCATTCCCGTTCCCGTTCCCATTCCCACTCCCATTCCCATTCCCATTACCATTACCATTACCACTGCCATTGCCATTGCCATTACCATTGCCATTGTCATTGCCTCGCTACCCCGTTACCACTATCATTACCGTAACCATTACCAGTACCATTACCATTACCAATGTCATTACCATTACCACTACCATTGCCATTGTCATTGCCATTGCCATTGCCATTCGAGGATCTCAGTAGGAATCATCCAGTGGAGGGTTTCAGTAGGAATCCACATGTGGAGGATTTCAGTAGGAATCATTCAGCGGGGGGGTTCGATAGGAACCCTTCTGTCGAGGATTTCAGTGTGAATCCTTCTTATGAGGGCGCTTAATAGGAATCCTTCTAGGGGGGGAGCAGGCGTGGCCACGTCGCATTTCTTTTTTTCCTCCTGGCGTCCCCCCCAAGGAAAAACAAAAAATCTGGGGGGGGGGGCACGCCAGCATTTTTTTTTT